CTCCTCTTTATCAAATGTTTCACACTTGCAAGAAAAAGAAAATATTTTAAAATGTAATCTTTTTGTAAAAGCTGTGTAAAATATTACTCTACAAATGGTTGCTATTGGTATTTCATTCTGGTTGAATTTTATTCTTTTAATATTTTTAATTAAACTGACAGAATTCAACTACAAATTCAGAACTGTTGTTCACCTCAAAGTTTCTGTCCATCCCACTTCCTCCACCATCTTTTTTGACTTTGCGGTCAAATTTGATTTTGACAAAATAAAGGCAAAGAAGTTTTCAAAGTAATTTATTTTTTTCAAGTTTAGTGAAAGTGTCTTGTGAGATAATTCCTTCATTAGAGGAAAACTCTTGTCATGGTACATTCTGTTGGCATGTGAATAATGTCTACTGCGTCAGAATACACACCTGAAGCTAGCTAGTACTAATGTGTGTTATATTTGGCTCAGGAAAATATGTAAAGCCCATGGATAGAGCAGAAGTAACAAGATAACTGCGCTGGTATGGGTACTTGACCAAACATACAAATCTGTACAGAACTAGGCCTCATCACTACTTCTGGTTATGTAACAAATTGTTAAGCTTTCACTGCTTCTTTGCTACTTTTAAAGGATTTTTAGACACAGTTGAAAGAAGCTGCAAACATACACAGGTCCTGTACTCTAGTCTCTTTTTATTCCCTTTATACTTTGCTGCTAACTTCAGTTTCATCTTTGCTGCTGATTCAAGTGATGAGCATAAACTGGGCTTTCAGTTTGCCCTTTCTCAGTATTCCTCCCAGATGAAACAGTTACCTCCCAACTCAAATCCTGAATTTGTTTCAAAATATTACTGCTGTGTTCATAAAAGGTGTTCTGTATGTTCAAGGACAGTGTGTGACCTGTTTCATGATCAGAGGTAGTGAGGACCAGTCCCTCATGTCTTATAGGCTTTTGTAACATCTAAGAATTCTTGTGTTGGGACACTCTGAGGTATCATAAGTCAACTTTGGTAGGTGTTAAATTTGTATTTAGACCATAGAGACAGAAATTCTGCTTTGTGGTATGTCCTGAATGACTTTGGATGTGCCTAGATATATGTGAATTGCTGTCTTGAGAGTGATTTTATTTTTTCTCCATGGATTTTAGCAGAGATGGCCAGAGAAGGTAGATCTTGAATAAGATGCACCAAGTTGGATAACTTCTAACAATCATTTACAATTGGTGTTAAAAATTATTAAATATTGTGAATAATATTTTTGGTGATTGATGGTGCAAGTATCTAATGTGATACTTTACAAGAGTATTTGGAGGTAGGTTTGTGCAGTCAGAAGTATTCATTCAGTTCCTTTGTGGATTAGGTTTGGTTTTTTTTACTTGACTTGTGTTTGTTTTTTAATATTAGTACTATACATTTGAGTACTGGATATACACTGAAGATTTATATTTTGAGTGCCTGAATGGAGCCGTCAGAAGGAAAATCCTAAAGGAGTAAACATCAGTAAGGAGGTTTGGGAAACTTCTCTATATACCTTTTCATTCTGGAGGATGGCTTTGAAGAAATGTCCCAAATGCGAAAAAAATCATTAGACGATATTTTGGGATAAATCAATAAAATTGATAATTATTATTTTTCTGTCATCAGGACCAGATGTTACTCATTCATGTTCAGAAGGCAAAAATGTCTTCTTGTAACTTTTTCTGGTAAAAAAAGCAAGATAGCACCAGATGTGGCTTCATCTTAATTTTCAGTCCCAAGAACCTCTGATATATTTAGGTATTGCTGACTGCATTTTAGCTTTACTACTACTACAGATTTACAATAAATCTGTTTTATATTTATATATATATATACATATAAAATTAAATTATATATATATATAATATTTATATATATTTATATCTGTTATACCACTGTCCATTCTTCCAAGAGCTTGAGTACAGAGTAGAATAGTGACAAGAAACACACATAAATCTTCAAGTATTATGCAATTCCTATTAATTTTTATATGCAAACAGGAAGAATTTTGTCATTGTCAGAGAATACCCCCAGGCAGATTATCCCTGTTTTCATATTTTGAATAAATAAAAGATCGATAATGTCAGTTTAAGCAAAAATGTAACCTTTGTTGTATTTAGAAATGGTTATAAAGGGATTGTAAAGGAAGAGCTACTAATGAATAAGTAAAATGTAGAGTAAGCAGAGACTATCAGATGTTTGCAAGCAACTGGGGAAGAATGTTTTCCGTTACAGCCGTTGAACAGAGCAATTTCCCATAAGAAATCAAATTAGAACTTCCAAAGGTATTGTGGACATCTCCATAGTCCATTGTAATGCAATGTGAAAAACAGTTTTTCTTAAAGAATAAAGGCAATGTCCTAAAAACATGTCTTTTCTGTAGCTGTCTCTCAAGTGCTGTAATTTTCTGGACTTGCCAGTGATATTGTAAATCTAAGTGAAAGAGGTTTTTCTCTGGAGGACAGTAGAGAGTTTAATGTACAATTGAGAATACAAGAATACTTCTATAGAGCAGTCCTGGAAATGAGTAGCAGTCTCACATGTCATTTTCTGTCTAGCACTTTCTAGCAGGTCTGGATGTATTGCTTTTGCAGGCACAAAAGCTTGTGGTGTAAAAATATGATATGAAGATTAAAAATTTGAATTTCATCAATAGTCTTCATTTGTCAGTCCTCAAATTTCTAATACAAAACAGAAATATATCTCTAAACAGCACAATATATTTTATCTTTGCTAGAAATTTGAACTAATTTACCATTTGGAGATGTTAATGAAAAGGCTATGGCAGGGAATTAAGCTCAGAGCATATGCCAGATGTTTTTATCAATTATGATGACATCTTTTGTGCCCTACATGCATATCTAAGTAAAAACATACATTTTAGTTATATAGCTCTATAGAGCTACTATGTGATGCAAAACAGTTCACTTCCTCTGTCTAAGTTGATAAAACATTTTGTATTTCAATGAGGAATTATTTGCTTTTATAAAAGCAATAAGTTTTTTCTAAGAAGAAGATTTGAAATTGAATAACACATGGCATTCTTGTTCTCCACAGAGAACAAGATTTTATAATTTATAAATCTCAGTAATTTTATAATCTCAGTAATTTCCTTGAGTATTATTGACTTCCTTGGGTAGTTAGATACACAGCAAGATGTTGCTAAGTCTTGGTCTGAGTAAATATGTGATTTTAATTGTGATGTTTAATTTCTGATTTCAGCTGACTTTGATCTTGCCTGACAATTCAATTATTTTAGTAATAATAAAAAATTGGATGTCTGGGATAGAAAACACAATTTATATACTGTAGTATAGTAGTACTACTGTAGTCTGTAGCCATCACATCCTTGTTTGATATTTGATTTTGTGTATATGAAAGTTTATGAAAATTCTACAATTTGATGTTTTATTCAGAATTTTGGTCACCAAATTACTTGGCAACGACCTTCAGAATTCAATGCCAGACTTTTGCAGTAATTAACTATAACAAGGAGTGAATGGAAAGGCTTTATCTGCATACAGTGTAATGTGCACGTCTCTTCTGAATAAGGAAATAATTTAGCTGTCACCGAATGAAAGAACTAAAATGCTAGTGAACAAAAACTACCTGTGGTAGATTATAGTGAAAGTTCTGTAAATTTGACAGCCACCTTCTCTTCATTTCTCTCCTTGAAGTGACAGATTATACAAGGATTGCTTTGTAAACCCTTATTACTTGCAAGGAATGATTTATTTTTTCCCTAAGGTAAGTTTTCCCAAGAGAAACTTTCTACTTTCACCCGAAGAAAAAGCCCTTTGGCACCTGGAAGGATCAAATGATCAGAATAAGAGAGGATACAGTGTTAAATAATCTTACAATTCTTTCAAACTATCATTTTATAAATTAGAGTTGGAAAATTTATTAAATCCTCAAGACATCCCTGTGTGTTTAATTTTATTTTGTCCTCCTTAGTGAGAAAGCCCTTTATACAGGAGACTAAATGCATAAGTGATTATTTTTCATAAAGACAGAATTTTTATTAAACTATAAGGAGACAAAGAAGGGTGATTCTCCTAGCCTTTCCATAAGAACAAGATGGCTCTCAGCACTCCTTGGACATTAGTATTTTCCTTTTTCCACCAGTCTCAAGACAGATCTCAGGCAGATCTCATGCTAGCTTTTGAAAGACTTGCCCATACAAATACAGGTAGTTAAAGTTCATACCTAGCTTAGTTATAAACACTTCTTTAAATGCACAATTAAAGAGAAAGAGGGATCTAGGGGAATGAATCTACTCTGGCTTGTGTTTCAGAGAGAGAAACCTCACAGCCAGAAGACTAGAACGATTTCTGTTTTGATATTCATGGCAGTACATTATGTATATGTGTATTATGTATATGGTGTACTTTCAGTTTTAAAGGAAAAGATAAATCATGTTGAAGAGCAGCTACTATGGGGGAAAAGTGTATTGGACTTTAGAGGGCAAAATTTATTTCACAATTAGGTTCATTAAAGCAAATTGTTCACTATCGCATTTTTATCCTCTACTCAAGGCCCATGAGGTATCTTCTCAAAGGGTTGGAGAATAAAAACTGTACTAGTAAGAAGAGATTAGTTACCTGTTGCAGGTTTGACTTTTAAAATGTCTTTGTGGTAATAAAGCCTGTTGGAAAACACTGAATGACATTCAACAGGATAAGACAGTGTTTTACATGCTGAAACTATGAAAGTTCATTATACAAAGAACAGTGTGTAAGGAAACAAATGATCTTGACACCATTAATGTGTCTCAGTCTTTAACTGTTAAGTGAAAACAATGGCTGTACAGACCTCTCTTTTCTCTCTTCTTAAGGGATTATTTCTAGAATTAGTAATAGTAGTAAGAGTTCCACAGGGTTTAAACAGGTAGCCTCACCTGCATCATCATTCAAGCATTTCTACATCAGTTATTCTAAGTTCTTAGTAAAAAGTAATAATTGTGAGATTTTAATTTTCCTTTCATATTATGGTACTCAAGGTCACATGGCTGTAATAGTGACTGAATTTCAGAAAGAAAGTTCCCTTTTTGCATAAAAAACAAGTCTCATACCACAAATTCTTCTTCAAATGCTCATAAGGTATGTAAAAATTTAAAATAGTGTATAAAATTTACAAATTTTTACAAATAATTTACAAAAAGTCTATGTAATATTTTTGTATAGTCTTTTAATTCTGGTGGGAGTAACATGATTTTGTATTTTTTCTTACCTCATTCATGTTTTCAGAACTTTTAAAGGAGGAAAACAAATTGAAAGATAGAAAACAAGGTTTAAAAAAATTTATTGTAAATGAGATTCATGACTAGACATATTAGACAAAGAGTATTTTATATAGCATATTAATATGTTCTAATAGCGATATTGTATATTTTATATATAATGTATATTTTATATATATTGTCATTAATATTCATTTAATCTTGTGCTGTCAGTGATGGCCTTTCAACTCTACTTAAAAATGTACAAAGCTGTTAATTGTGACCATGTCATAGTTATTATGCAAATGTGCACCACAGGGTATGCAAACAGTTAACTAGGCCATATAAATTTCTTCCCTGGTTTCCAAAAATTATGCTGCAGGGATCCGTCTCTTTTCAGCTGATGACACTAGTTTATAATTCAAACTGTAATATGCTATACAACACAAAAACTTCGACAAAGCTAGGTTGGGCAAGATTACAATATGATTACAATACAATATGATGGAAAGGCTGAAAGTAATTATAAAATTTTCATATAATCATGAGTTTGATTTTTCCCTGCCTTTTGTCCTGAAAGCTTTTCTATATGGATTCCAAAGGTTCTCATCTTTTTCTCTGAACAACAGGATTGCCTCAATTGTCTTTCATCTTTCAGTTTCCTGTTGGAGTAATCATTGGACAGCTTCTGTGTTTACAAAGACAAAAGTGTTCGTGCCTGAATGCACTCAAGTGTGAAGTCTTGCTGTACTTGTGATGTTCATACTATACTAATACAATCTACATCTAGCCCTAAACAACATGCACAAAAAATGAACATAATATTCCTTGAAGATACTGTATGCAAAGCATAAAAGTAGCTCTCACTTGCTTCAGCTGACAGGTTGTTTAATTTCAGTTTGCTGTTTGTATACAATGGCACAAGAATTTAGTTTAAGAGGTTGAAATAGTCTTTTCACTGTACTGTTTTTGTTTTGCACTATCACCTCTTTCATGCCCACACATACTGTGAATTTTCTTGCCCATGAATGCCACTTGCTCCCCCTCCCTTCCAACTGGAATCACAAAAGGCAAGGATTATGGCTTGAGATAAGAACAGTTTGCTGGAAACAACAATGAGATGAGAAAACAAACAGTAACAGCAACAAGAGAAGGTATAGGACAAAGAAATTACTTGCATGGAAAGCATGCAACCATAAAAAAATACCAGATCCCTTCTTCCCAAACATGTTTTCTTCCTCTGAAAGGAAAGCCCTTTTCCTCAAAAGCCAGAGTCCTTTCCTCCCCACCCATGGCTATGACCTGCTGGGGTATAGAAAAACATCAGGGTCCTGGACACACCCATTCAACAATGTCTCCTTCCAGCTGTCGCAGAAAATTACCCTTGTCCTGGCCAAAACCAGAACAAGAGGGAGGAGTAGATGGACTGATGACTGTTCAGGAAGAAGAACATGCATAGTACGAGCACCAGTGGTGCCAATTTCATTGTGAAACCTCACCAGTTCTTCTGAACTCTGATTTGAAAAGGTTTTATTGAATGCTAAGCTTTTTGTCTCTTTGCTGAAAACATGAAATATTAATAATTATTAATAATAATTATCAATATTAATTATTATTAATGTAATTACAGCTGGTTATTGGTATTAACCAAGTAGTTCTGTATTTAGGTTGTTTTCTAATTGTATGTTATTAACAGTTGCATTAAGACAACATGACAAAGTACTTGAGTGACACAGTTCTGAACTGTGTATAAAGGGGAATTTTATTTGCATGAAAATAACAGCCATTTATGAACAAAAACAATGAAAACATACTTTTAGAGTTGAAATATACTGAGATTACTTATTTTAATTGAATTAATATTCCGTCTTCACTATTTCCTACAGATAAATTGTTCCTGAAAATAGTACAAATAATATGCTTTCACTCAGGCTTGCTTTCCTAAGCAGGTTAAAGGATAAGTATTCAAATTTTAAAACCATAGCTGCCTTAAGTTAATGTTAAGTTTGGAGCTGTCAGAGTAGCTGTTTGAACTTGATGCCCGAACTAATCTCTGTCCAACAGTACCATTAGTTATAGACAGTTTTTCAATGTCTTTCATTAATCAATATTAACATAAAAATCTCCTGGACCTCAGAATCACTCAAATGACAGAGACCAGTTTCTAAGCCTTGCATGGAAGAAGGTGCACCAGAGCTAGGGAAATGTTCTGTCATGGTTACATATTTTTGGAGGACAATTATAAGTGTGAAGAACATACAGATCTTTCATGGGCAGCTCATATGTATTACTACAGGCATGAATTTCATGCCTTACATGCAACACACACAATGTCTGAACACATGGAAAATCTCATGAGGTCAAAAATCTGCAGTGTTACTGCTTGTTCGTGAGTTTGATCTGTCATTTAAAATTGTGAAAATCTTTTGGCAGCTAATTAGCATTCAGTATCTTGTTTAAATCAGCAAAGAGACAAGAAGTAATTCGATTTAAATGGATTCCAGTAAAATAGATTATGACAATTGGAAACTATTTCTAAATAACAAACTATCGTGACAGGGCTTGATCCCATGAATTATGGCCAAATCTACAAAAATCCATAAGAAATGTGCTGATTGTAGTGGCCCTTGAATAGGAACACCAAGAAATTCCACTTCCAATTAAGTAGTTTATTTGTAGTAGTTTGTTTATTGTGGTACTGCTGACCTGATGCAAATAGGACATTTTCATGGACCATTTGAAAGATGTAAGAATTTTCATTCTGAAATTCAATTGCCATTTAATCTGCACTGTAGGTTGCCAGTATTTCTTAACTCTTGGTCACTGTGTGCTGCTTCCTTGTAAAATAACACAAAGATAACATTTACCAGAGTCATTGTGCATTCTGCAGGTTTCTTGCTTCTCCAACTAAATTGTGTACATCCAAGTGTCTAAGTCACCACTTCTTTCTTGGTGCCTGTTTAGAATGCTCCTACACAACTAGTTTCATGGTTATTCCACTTACAAATCCCATTTCTCATTGTAGTACAAAGTACCTGTTGTTCTTCTTCCATGAGTCTATCTTGTATCTTGGCAGACTTCACAAAACAGCTATGAGGTCTGCCTATCTAAGGCTTTCCTTTCAGCCCACCTTTCTAAAACATCCCAGACTTATAAAAAGATTTCCCTCCGATCTCTCCAGACAGGTCTGAGATTGTTTTCCTATGTGATTTCAGCTCGTACAGAACATATAAGTCAGTAGTGTGGAAAGTTGATTCTCCCAAAAGAAGCAGTCCAACAGTATCAGTTCTGAAAGGACTTCTGCTGTAATTATGTAATTGTAGGACACTAATTCTCTTAAAAAACATGAAATATTATGTTAGGGAGAAAATCCTTCTCAAAGCATTCAGTTGTCTAGGCCAGCACTGACTATTTACTATGACCAAAGCAATTTTTGGCAGTATTAATAATGCTCAGAAACAACAGAACTGTTTTCTGTCAGGAAAAAAATAATTCATGCAGGGAACAATGCTGTGCTGGGAGATGTCCCCTGTGGAATTTCTGAAGGGGTGAAAACAATCACAAAACTTATAGGCTTTTTGCTGAAATGCATAATGGATTTTGACCTCACCTCATTAAACAGCAGTACATAATACATTATGTATAAAACCCTCAACTTGCAAAATAAACATTTTACAACAGGGTAAAAATGGAACAGAGAAGAAGAGAAATCAGAAAATTCCTATCTTGTAGAATTACTGCTTTTGGAAATCATTCTGGTTGAAATGTCTACAACATATAGGTATACATGTATGGGAAAGTCATCCCAGGCTCTCTCTTTCTCTTGATAGAGAGAAGTTAAGCAGTTCATAGGATGTCTAAAATTCACATCTAACATAAGTCAGATAAATAATTCCCAGCAGGGAGACCTATCTCCATTAACCATAAAGGGAGTCCGGGTTGACTGGTTCACATATTCAGGGCTAAATTGTTCATATCTAACATTGTGAGATGAATTCCGACCTCAGAGACCACTGTAATGAGGCTGTAAAAGAACATGAAGTTGTGACAATTAACTCTTTGGCAAATGGTCTCTACTGCAAAATTTACATTGGAGGTGTAGGGAACAGCAACACAAGGAACAGGCAAAGCAGTCTGCCTTGTGAAGGGGGCGTTGAAGAGATGCAAACAAACTTATATGTGAGTACTCACCACACAGAAACTGGCAACCCTGACCGCTCACCTGTGTACAGCAGGACTGGAAGGGAGCCCTTTTCCCCCACCACCCCCTGCACATGGCACCAGGTTGTAGGATAACCTCAGAGTCCCAGCCATGCCCCTCCTGGATGCTTTAAATATTAACCTGGCCAGAGCCAGAACATAGTTGTACTACTCACGAGCAATTACTGCACAGCTTATTTCTCAAAGTTTGTCTCTCGTTGTTACCGGATAAGAGTTACTGTGTCTTGTTCTGTAAGTTATGTGTGGAGAAGAAAATTGTGTGGAAGGGTAAAGGCTTGTCTAAGCATCTTAAGGAACCCATTGTATGTATAAATGTCCCAGTATCTCATGGCAGCACACAGTAACAGAGATTTCAGGTAAGGGGCAGCCTCTGTGTGAGTAATAATGGTTTCCTATACAATAATTAGGTAGAAAACAGAAAAAATATAGTATCAACTTTATGATACAGCATTCTGTAATCAGTACTATGTTCTTGAGTAATCTACAGAACTAAAATACATAATCCAATGTTTTTAAACAAACATCGTTCATGTGGTGAATATTAAGTAACATCTTGTAAATCTTGTAAACACTTTGCACTAATGCTAAGCTGAGTTATTTAAGAACCTGTAATTCCTCAGTAACAAGTTGTTATACTATTTTCAGCAATGAAAATATTTATATACATAAGTCTGTGACATCAGTCATATACATCAGTCTATGAGACTGATAGCAGAAAAAAAATTATAATATTATATCATAATGTTTTTAAGCAAAGTTACATTATGAACTGCCAATTATTTGGTCTAATTTTTGAATATATATAAACAAGAATTATTTTTTTTTTGTGGATTTGGCTAGTGCATTCTGTTCAATTGTAAGCTGATATGGCATTCTCTGTCTTGCTAGGAAGCTACAGGAACAAAAGATGATATCTTTCTAAAGATGAGGGTTAGAACTGAGAGCCACAAGAGTGTTACAGACACAGGATGGCTTTGCAGGAAACTTGAACAGAGACAAGGATGTCGTTTGATCATGTTTTGAAAGCTGTGTGAGCAGAGCATGGTGATCTTATTGATAGCAGGAAATTTAGAATTGAGAGAAGACTTGTGTGAAACCTTTCTGAAGGCATTCTCATTGGAAGCATTATCTTATAGGAAAGTGGACCAGGTATTGGATGTAAGATGCCTGTGGACATACCTGGCTCATGGGAAGCGCTTGAATTTATAGTGCATAGTTTGTTTCTGACATCTATGATTGGGTTGTGGTTTGTTTTTTTTTTGCTCTGTCTCGGTGTAAATGAGACAAATATTGCCCACTATTATTCTTGATAAGCAGCTTCAGCTGCTGAGTTTTCACTCTTTTGGCTAAAATTGTATGCTTTAATAAATGGTTTGAATTGTTGGTGATCTCTGTGCTGCAAAACTGGAAGTTAGTGAATATTCTCATGTTTTGAGGAAGATTCCTTTGTAAGATGCCTTTAAATTCAAACAATGCTTCTTTGAAAACTGTAGTATAAAGATGTTTAAACCCAGTAGGCAATGTTTTTAATGTCGCTATATTTTTAAATATGAATATCTGATAAATTGAGAAATCATTGTTTCCTGTACATCATAAAGAATAATTTCATTTCTTTACATACATATTCTGAAGCCTAATATGTATTGACATTCCAGCTGATACACACTTGTGAGCTGTAGATTATGATATGATCCTGTGAAATATTTTATGATGGGAGAATTGGAATATTATTACAAATGGGTAGAAAGTTTTGTCATTCTTTATAAGATGAAATAAATTTAAGCCTCATGAAAACAGCAGTTAATGCAGTTAATATATTAAAACATCACGTTGCATGTATCAAAAGCTGAGATGCAAGTTGAACGGGGCACAGTGAAAATGCTTTCCAGGTAAAATTTCGTAAGTTTCTGGTTCCCAGCTATTACAATTATATCTTCATATTTTCCTTGGAGTTTTATATAAATATTGTCACTTCAATTAAACAACTAAGCAGTTCCCTTTCTTTTTTTCTTTTACATAGCAGATGGTACGTGAACAATATACAACAACGACACCAGGCACGAGCCTAGAGAGGCCGAAGAATGAATATATCTACAAAATTGGAATTTATGGCTGGAGAAAGCGTTGTCTCTACCTGTTTGTTCTCCTCCTGCTTATCATCCTAGTTGTGAATTTTTCTTTGACAATTTGGATTCTTAAAGTGATGTGGTTTTCCCCAGTAAGTGTCCTCTTTAATTTTCTATTCTTGTCTTCTCTTCCCTGCCTCACCACTTCACTTATTTTGCATGTACACCAGATTCTCTGTAGGTAATGGATGGTTCTTTCTTCTCAGCTGTGATTTGTACTTTGGCTGAAAGTAGGTTAGAAAAATCTGTCTTTGAATGTACTTCCTCATATGTAATTTCTTTATTAGTAATAACTTTTGAAATACTGAGGTTGTTGATGCCTTAAATTGCAGTGAATTCTAACCATTCTATGAGAATGTATTTTACTGTTGTCTCATAGTCTCTTTTTAGTTGCTGTTTTATAAATGTGTTGGCTGTAATTTTATCTTATTCAGAATTCCTTAGTTAAAATATTGCTGACAGTTGCTGTGGTTTTTTAGCTTATTTCTCCTATTTATCAGCATCTAAAATTTAACAATTTATTTGCCCAATTAATTACAGCTTGGAAGTAATTATCACTACTTCATGCTTGAGGCTAGCAGCTATATAATTCATAAGTAAATTTAATAACTTTCCACTGTCATATATATTTTAATATTTATAATGTAATTTTGCATGCAGTAGATTAAAGGGTAAGTTTCAGAAGTCTGCAAGATATGGCTTTAGTCAGAATGCAATAAAATGCATCAGTGAATATTGAAGCTAAGCTAATTTGCTCCTAACATGAAGTTGTGATACACAGATGATTTGAATAGACTTGTTACAAGAAAAACAATAATAATAAATTTCTACAGCTCTTCCCTGGCTACTGAAGAAAGTTTCTGTTATCTATTATTATTACATCTCTGTCACTAAGTGAAGGCTACTTTTTCTTAATATAAATATTTCTATACTCACTAAAAAGAAAGTATGTTAATTTTAAGTCCTACTTACTAATACAATTTTTACTGCTTGAATTCCTGTGAAGGGTCTTCCCCTACATGAATTCTTTACAGCGCTGTTACTGTCATACAGATTACAGTGCAAAGCATCTTAGATCACATATAATTTTTCTCTTATACAGCTCACATGGAAGATATGCTTTTAGTGCCTGCATGTCATAAGTCACAGAGAACATGAAAAACTTATAATTGTTTTCTATGTGGCTCAGGGTTCTATATTTAAGGAGTTTAAAAAAAATATTTTATGTTGATTTGATTTCTACATATGAGTCTGGGTATTCTATGATACCAGTGAGGACTAAAAATAAATAACATTAGGAAGTCTACTTATAGGAATGCCTATCTCCTGTGTGGAAGGCACCAAATGCCTTGATCTGCTGAGGGACAGAGCCCTTCTGCTTTTGCAGCAAGAGCAGTGGAGTAACAGCTCTAGCAGTGCAGGTTTACATCCTTTCACAGAGTGGGCTGTGTAATTACAATGAATTTCCTAATTCTTTGTTAAAGAATCTGTATGCCTGACACACATGCCCAATTGGATAGTGACTTAACAGTAATGCCTTCATTAATATGGGAGAATTTTAGGGAAATACTGAAATTCAGATAAATATCAACTGTAAATACATTTGTGCAAAGGGCACATGTATGTCACAATCCTCAGCAAAAGTACATGTGATGTTGCTAAGAATAGAGAACTTTTTTACTGGGTGTTGTTTTAATGGACTACATCACTCAAGACAAGAAGTAACTCTGAGGATACCAGAAATACTGCACAGAGAATCTCAGAGAAGCACTGCTAGCCGCCAGTTCTAAAAACAATGTAAAGTGCATATTCAAAGTCTGGAATTATAATTGATGCATCACACTCCTCTCCTGTGTCTAAGGAAACACCAATTATGAAGAATTAGTGTAACAGTCATAAGAAATTTCCAATACTATCGCAAAACACTTTTCATGGTGGAATTAAGCATTTATGTGTCCAAGTATTTTGTTACTGTTTCAAAAATGAGGTATCAATATAGTGTCAGAATTAGATTTTTAGGATTTGTGAGTTCCAATCTTGACAAGTATTTGCTGTTTAGGAAATGAGTGAATTGTTGGTATATCACACTTACCCAATGAAGCATTCCCATGACTGGGAAGAGTTTAAAAGTAATAGTGAAATATTATCCTATGCAATCATCAGTTATTTAGCAAATATTAATATGTCAAATGTGATAACATTTGTATTTATTAATTGTACTCTAAGTATATTGTGTAGAGATTATAAGACCTATTCATAATAGATATTTTATTTTTAGCTAATACTTTAAAAACATTTGGTCCTAGTTTTAAAAAAAATCATTAAGATCACTCTTAAAAATATCACTCAACAATATTTAAATATTGATAGCTAGTAAGTTATTAACAACTTTTTTTCTCTGTAAAATAATACAAGAAACAAGTTGTATTTTCACTAAGGTTGATAAACATATTTAGAAATAAACATGGATATTTAGAAATAAACATGGCAAACATTTTAAATTATATTTTTATAGTAGAGTCCTGAAGAGAGTTTATGCTGAAGGAATACTTTAAAGATAGCATGACTGCAGTGTATAGTTTCATTAGGAAAACAGTTTTTCAGTAATAGGGATGTTGGTGCTTTAGTGATTGATTGACATGGTTCTATAGCACAGCCCTTTCATAAGCCAACTCAGAGCTGACAGAATGGTTATTTAAACATCAAAGTTTCTTTTGTTGTACAAAAAGTGTTCTCTTTTTCTATAAAGCATCTTTGTCTCTTTCATTAAGTAATAACTTGCAGTATACAAAAATCAATGCTATGTCTATTCAGAGATCCAGAGTAAAATAATAATGAAATTATGAACAGAGCTTGAAGAAGCTCTGGCATTGAATTAATCCATGCACACATGTCCTGCCTTAACCCACATAAAACCAGACAGGGTGATAAATACTAGCAAAGAAGCAAAGCTGATAAAGGGGAACATGAACCAGATATAGATATACTGCAAGATGAATAGATTTTGATCTCCTTGCAAGAATTTGGAGTGATGAAAGACAAACTTTTCTAAGCTCTATTGTTTGAGAGGCCTTCAGCATCAAATGTAGATGACTAAATTGAACAGAATTTCATTGTTTCATTTCATTTCATTTCATAAAAGCTAGACTAAAAGAGAACAACCTGAACAGAGAATATATCCCTTTTCTCATGCTGCCCCAATTAAAAAAAATATGGGCATCTCCAAATTGTTCTCATTAATTCAAAGATACAGCTGTGTCTCATTCTTTTTTTTCCTTTTCTCTCTTGAAGTTCAGAAGGACAGGGTCTCAATTTTTTTTTGTGGAGATGAGCAAAGAAACCTGTGAATTCATTATATTCAGCTGTTTCAGGGGAGACATGGAAATAATTATGCCTTGAGCTTGGTGAATAAGGTGAAATAGAATAATTTAAAAACTAGCATTATTTTTGCACCGAAATCATCTTTAAAAAGGTTGGGTTTTTTCCCAACATATTCCTGGACAACATACCACATTTTGCATGTAATGGAAATTTCATATTCTGTTTTTAATACAATGAGACTTTCTGAGCACTAAAGGGGACTGCTAGTTTCAAGAGTTTAGAAAACTAAGAATCTTAAGGGATTTAGGGCTGGAAGGATGTCAGAAGTCCTGTGGACAATTCTGAAGGATCCAGTAGGTCTGGAAGAGGGGAACTTCTATGTCTCTGGTATCTGCTGAAAGACAGGTGTGGTAGGATGGAAGCAGTGAAGATTTCCAGAGGGTGTCAGCAACAGCTTCTGAAGAGGACAATTAAAGGTGGCACCCAGCTGGATCTGCTACTCACAGGATCCCATGTGAGCTAGATCTGAAGGGTAGAGTTACCCAGAAAAGCTTGATCAAGTTCATGGACTGTAGCCTCCAAATGTAGGAATGATCAATCCTGATACTCAGGGAGATAAACATCCTGGCTTAGCTAGGCAGGTTACTTGTGATAGAGCTTCAATGAAAAAGCAGTATAGAAGAGTTGGAAGCAGATACAGGCTACAACGAAGAAATTTCAAAATAATGTCTGAGCCAGGAAATGTGTCAGGCTTTCTGTGTCAGGAATGCCAAAGCTCGGCTTCAGTTAAGAATTACAAAGAGCGAATGGCAACAAGATGGTGTGCATGCATTGGTGCAGAGAGAACTGATTGTCTTGCAGCATCATCCTCTGCAATGTTTGAAAGGTTTTGGAGGCTGGACAGATCCTTGATGACTGGGGGAGTGCAAGTGTTGCACTTGTCTTTAATAAAAGGGGCCATGGGTTTACCAAGGGTGAATGATGCCTGACCAATCCAATTGCCATTTTATGACAAAATGTCTAGAATTATAGATGATGGGAGGAGACAAAATATCATTTACCTTGACTTCAGCAAGGCTTCTGACTCTCACAGAATTTCTGTAGCCTAGTTAGGATATTACAGCCATGAGGAGTGGACAAACAGGTAAGTATAAAAAGTAAGCTGTAGTAATGCAACTACAGTGCTCGCCAGGATAACTAGTTGCCTTTCTTCATTGTGGAGTTTCCTCTGACAAAAATTTTAAGCTCAGTGTAAGAGAAGTAGACAGGTCTTTCTGGTTTTAGATGCACTATTAGTCAAACATAATTAAAATCTGCGCCCAATCTCAAGTTCTCCTGCCTTCCATGTCAAACCTTACTGGGGTTTGAATCTAACAAGAAGTCCTAATACTAAGCCTTAGAATAACCCCTGGGTCACTGTATCATGACAGGGAGTAGCTTGGTCTGTGGAGGGCCAAATCAAACAGTGTCCAGTCCAACGATGCATATCTTAAGCATGGTTCTTCCTAAGAACAGGGCAGATGTTTAGCCCGCTCTTGTGCCTGCACCTCAGCTAGACATAGAAACAAAGGCAGTGAGGACTGGGAGGGTTTCTACCCTTTAAGATAGATTGTGGGGTTTTACTTTCTCTGTTATGCACATAACTTTCTGGCACTGGAATAAATAGGGTAGTTGCCACAGTTGTACAAAAACATACAGGGTTTTCTAGATACTGACAGATGTTTCCTTCCTTTGGCCTACTTTTAATTAGGGAGTACTCTACCCATGCAGC